TATATATATATATTATATATATGTATATTAATATATATATATATATATATGTATATGTATATATATATATTTAGAACATTTACATGCACGCGTAACATAGACGCACCCCGGGGTGTGTCACCCGTTTCCCGCTCTGCATAGGAACACTGACAGCTTTGCGCTTTCGATCGGCTGGCTCATTACCCACACCATTTAAACTCACACTCGCAGAAGCACCCTATAACCAACATGTGCATGTGTATAGTAACGGATGTAGCATTTGATGAGCTGGTTAATCATAACATCGAGCCCGTAATATAAACGATTCGGTAGCATAGCGTATACAAGAGGATCATATGTATCCATAAAACGCGGTGGAGTGTGTGCAGTGGAGTGCATGAGCTATGAACAAGGTTTAGAGCAGGTGTGTGTGTGTGTGTCCGATGTATAGCACAAAAATCACTTACTGAAAATAGAAAAATAACGAACGCTATGTACTGATATACAGCACAAAGGCCAATAGCGCTAGGAACGCAATCTTGGTCAATACAATGTAACACAAAGCACTTTTATAGAAGGTATGCATATGGATTTATATGTATTTATATACGGAGCAATACATATTACCAAATTTTGTATCAATTTAAAAGTACATATGTATATCCCAAACACACACACACATACATTTGTATAAATATTATCTCTACATCCGGATATATTTTGATATATATGTTTTCGTAAATTCATATATATGCAATAAGTGTAGTTGCCAATATACAGCACATCTTAAGATGGCAAGATACACATAAGATATATTCACAGACACAGACACAGACACAGACACAGACATAGACATACATATAACACACATATATATATACAAATATACATACAAATATACATTTATGCATACATATATACATACATATATACATACTTACATAGATACATGCATGCATAGATACATGCATTGATACATAGATACTTCGACAAATAGATAGATAGATAGATAGACAGATACATAGTATATATATATTTATGTGTGTGTGTGTGTTTATATATA